CCCTAAACATCTATGGTACTCCACATGAACCTCTTTGAAAAATTTGTATATTTTGGCTATAAGTGTTGTATAAAAATAGATTGTGGAGATGAGGAAAGAAATATATTTTACAATTTTTTCACCCGTTGCGGTTGCGAACCTTTAGTGCCTATGTACCACCTTCCATGCAATAGGGGATCAGGGTACTCGTAGTTCATCTTTAAAAATTTTAAAACACATATGTGTTGGTTAATTTTAAGAGAATAGACATCATCATCTTATCCGAGTGAAAGAACATACTTACTACCCATGATTATGAGAAAGAATAATTTACATCATCTCAAAGTGGAGGATATGGCTTGGATTTTAAAATCAACAAAGCCTCACTTAACACCCAAATGGAAAATATCTTACGTCACTACATATCGTACAAGTATAATAGCTCACATCACTACAAGGATTGACAAGAGTCTAATATTTCGGGAAAAGCTTAAAGGAAAAAGCCAAAGTGGCAAAATAGCTTGAATAAGTTTGATTGTCTTTTACTCTTCTCATAAAAAAGGTCAAAGTATTTTTAAATTGTTTAAAGTTTGATTAACAAAAGATTTTTGAAAATGCATGGACCTAAGTCTAAGTTTATTGTGAAAGCGGTTCAAGTTTAAAATAAGAAGAGTTTTCAAAGGAGGGAGAAGATTTTTGAAATTAAAGAAAATGGGAGGAGATGAAGAGGCTATCCTAAAGCATAAGGGTAAAAGCTAGGGAAAAGAACCATCTAACCAACAAGAAGCCAACACTTGACATAAAGAGTCAATGTAATATTCCTATTCTTTAGATTGAAACCAAACAAGCAAGGACAAAATAACCTCTTGAGAATTAAATTTCAAGTGCATTAAGCCTTCAAAAAAATTAGGCAGAGTAATAGATGTATATAGATGAATCCCCAATCAATAGACAAAGCATATATCAGAATAACTTGCACACAAAGAAAACAAACAACCCAATGTCTTGGGGTAAACCCCAAGAACTCCAGAAAAAATAGCAATGAATGTCACAAGGTCTCAAGGTAGGTCAATGTCTCTAACCCTCAGTCCAAGAAGTCCATCACTCCATAATGCCAAGGATAGTAACCAAATAGTCCAAGTAACATTAAAGTTTTTTATGGTTCAAGTTTATTATTAGGTGTCTTCAAAAAGAAATGAGAAGCTCAAGTGAGCAAAATAAAAATGACATGAAATTAAATGCTCAAGTGAGCAAAGATGAAAATATCATGAAATGTAAATGCTAAAATAAAATTGTGCATAAAGTAAAGGCATAAAATAAAAGCATAAAATAAAGGGCATAAAATAAAAGTCAAATGTTACTAAATTAGTAATTAGAGGTTAGTTGAATGACCATCTTGAAGCTTGTATTTGAAAACTCATTAGAAGATTGATAACATTAAAGTCTCTCAACAACAAGTTTCATTTTCTTTTTGTCAATTATATCATTCATTTCCAAAATCTCAAGGCAACAATGATCAATGATATTTAAGTGATTCACTTTGATCAAAGCTTATGAAGATTCATTAGAGAATTGATAAGACTAAAGCCTCCTAACAATGAATCACAAGATTATTGGGTCAAAGGTTTCAAATTAACATATTTGGGCTTGCAAACATATGTTTGGGCCACAAATAATAATTTCTCGAATCGGGACAAAATTTAATGCTATGTTAAGTAATCGTAAGTGGACTTATATAGAAGTCGCACCTATTTTGAGGCTGATCAATAGTAATGTATGTACCATATATTTAGAGAAATAATATGTAAATTATTATCTAACAACATATAGTACAAGTAAGAAGGGGATAAGATGAAGAGGGAGGGAATAAGAATTAAACCACATTTGAAACAAAAATTTAATCAAACTATCATTAAAAGCATTCAACCCTCTTTGTGGGGTTGAACTCAGCACTCAAGATCCAATGATGTTAATGAAGCTCATGATCAAAATCTCATAGTTCAAGATCAGCCAGAATATATACAAAAATAAAATTGTATTTAAAAATAAAGAAAAAAATATTTTTAAAATGGTTTTTAAATCAAAATAAAAGGGGAAAATAGCAACTATATTCAAAACATCCAAGAAAAATTCAATGAGACCATAGAAAAATCAGAAATGAGCTTAAAAATATTAATGAAATTTTTTATAATTTTTTAAAGTCAGGAACTATTTTTAAAATTAAAATAAATAGGAAAAAAAAACCAAAAATTGTGAAAAATTGTAAAGTCAGAAATAAAAATAAAATGAGGTCACCAATATTTGTCAAGAGGTCATTGGATTCTTTCATATTTTTTTCAGAAATTAAAAATTAAGAAAAGTATTTTTAAACATTTAAAATAACTCAAATAAAGTGAAAAAATATAAAAAAATATAAAAACACAAAATAAAATTGTTAAAAATATATAACAAGAAAGAGAAAAATAAAAAGTATTTTTAAGAATTTTTTCAGATTTTTTGAAGTTAAAATGAATTTTTATGAATTTTTGAAGTTTTAAAACAAATAAAATATAAAATCAGAAGAAAAAAAATAAAAACCAAAAAGAAGTAGACCATTTGATCAATGTCAAAACGCATTAGTAATTAGATCCAAGGGATCTGGCGCACTGTGCATATCATGGATATTAGTGAATAAAACACTGAATCATTTATTAAAATCAGAAATTTTAAAAAAATGGCGCGATTTCATTGGTTGAGAGATGACACATTGGTCATCTTCAACCTCCATCCACGCGAATTGTAGGTCTCTGAAATGGAAAAATTAGAGCTCGAGACCGGTACCATTCGCTTCATCTCTTCAAGACAATTCCAATGATATCCTCGCGAAAAATTTATGTAAGGTGTAGCTCAGTCGTTTTGGAAGGAAAGATTTGAAATGGGATTTGAAAATTCATGGCCAAAACTCACTTCCAGTTGAAAACAAATGTTGCGACTAGGATCAGAATGATTAGAGCTTCAATACAGTACCAAAGTTTTAGAGAATTGATGAAGGAATCTACCTATTGAAGTTCAAATTTAGAGCTCCAAAACTTGACTTGGCTAGCACGATTTAGGAAGTCTTAAAGCTTGGTTCTTCTTCTGTTAGCTTCAGTGAAGTTCAAGAATGAAAAATTGACAAATAAAATGGATTGAGGAAAGCTGTAAAACCAAATTCGAAGTTGCAGAAAAGTGGCTTCAAGAGAAAGTTTGGCAGGGTGATTCTGGCTATCTAAGCTTGTGAAAATGAGTGGAATAGAGCTTGTATTTATAGGAGAAGTGAATGGAATCAAGAGGAGGGGTAAATGATGCAATTTGGAGGGAAATCGTTTAACCTGTGATCATGAAGAAAGTGTGATCACATGTGCATCAAAACTCATCAAATGATGCGTTTTGATACTCTAAATCATCCATACACTTATTCTAATCATGTTTAAGTAGAAAACACGCACAAATTTGGTGATTAGAAGTCAAATTATAGAAATTGCATTCTCACTGTTTGAGAAACTTCAGTTCCAAGGTATCAACTTTGAAACCATGGTATGTACAATTCAGGAAGCTTTATGACTTGATTCCTGATGTGTTGGAAAGATGAGATCACAAACTTTACAATGTGAAAAGAATGGAATCAAAAGGATGCTTGAGCTGAAAGTTGTGATGAGTCAAAGTTGAGAAAAAGATGCTGACTTTTTATACTTAGAAAAATTCTAAGTTTTTCTTCAAAAATGACTTATAATGTCTTGCATCTAAACATAGTCTTTCATTTAAAATTTGCTCTTGAAATAAAAATATGGAATGAAGTAGATCCTTTGAATGACATTTTGAGACTTGGACCATTTAAAATCTCCAAAAAATGAGAAATTTATGGCTTGGTGAAAATGCAAGAGATGACCTATAATATTTTGAGTCCTTAAGACATATTACACCCATTTTCAAGCTTTGCATATAAAATAAGGGTTGAAGTTAACATATTTAAGATCATTGTGGAAAAAGAATGGGCTCTAGGAGATAAAAATTGACCAAGTTATGATCTTTTGAAATCACATAAGGGAATTTGATGGCATATGTAGAGGACTTGTATTCTTTCTTCATCATTAAACATCTACCACCTCAAATATTTTTGAAACTTTTGAATTGATTTGTTGATAACCCTTTAAAGAGAAGCATGTCTTTGGAATCACTCAAAAAATACCAAAAGATGAGAAAGATATAGCCCTAGGAAGTTCAAAAACCTAGCTCTTGGAGCAACAAAATGCCTTGGAAACCTATTTCAATTTTGACAAGCTTTCTTGTACAAATACTTTTGTCATGTAAATATAAGTTTTTGAGGATGATAATGATAAACTATGGCAACCATAACCACTTCCAAATATTAAGAATAAAGGGAAACATGCACTTGTGATCAAGAAATCAAGGATTTATCCAATTAGGTCAAACTTCTTCAATCAACCCTTTCATCTTTGAACTATCTTTGACAACTTGAGGCATGATGAATCATAATAGACTTTGTCATGATATTACTTCAAATCATCTTCAACGATGAAGCTTGAATCTCAATGAAGCTTTGTTGAAGAAGGCATGGAAATAAACTCATGAACCTGTAGATCAACTTAATGGAATATGTCGTGTTCTCACATATAATATCATCAATTAGGATAAACATTCATTGTATTTATTAGTTAAAAGTTAATCAATGTAAAACATAGATGATCATAATATATAAATCAAAGTGCTTGGTGATTCTCCATGAGCAAAGCTAAAGATAATGGGAAGAACCAAACCCTAGTGTGATCTTGTTGTGATTGAGTTTATATGAGATGATAGAGGGATCTTATGGGAAAAAATTGGGGTACAACAATATGGTCTAAGGTGTAGAACACCTCTATGTTGGTATGAATCTGGCGAAAGCATGGTGCTTGGACCAAAGATTATTCGACAAACTACAGAGAAAGTGAAGTTAATAAGAGAACAGGTGAAAGCTTTATAGAGTAAGCAAAAGAGTTATCATGGTAAGAGGAGGAAGGATCTTGAGTTTCAAGTAGGAGACCATGTATTCTTGAGAGTCACTCCCATAACCAGTGTTGGATACACGTTGAAATCGAAGAAGCTTACTCCTTGATTTAGTGGTCTGTATCAGATTTCGGACAAAGTATGGAATTTTGCTTATAGGGTGGCCTTGCCACCTAATCTCACGAATTTGCATGATGTGTTCTATGTTTCGCAGTTGCATAAGTATATTTCAGATCCATATCATGTGATACCGATGGATGATGTACAAGTGCGGGATAATCTTACGGTCGAGACTTTACCAGTGAGAATCAAAGACCGTGAAGTGAAGACGTTGAGGGGAAAAGGGATTCCTCTTGTGAAGGTAGTTTAGGTAGGAGTTACCGGAGAAAGCATAACTTGGGAGTTAGAAAGAAAGATGCAAGAGTAGTATCCCGAATTGTTCACATCAGGTAATTTTCGAGGATGAAAATCTTTTAATGTGGGGAGAGTACTAATGCCCTGATTTTATCGTATTTATTTTTAATAAATTCATTATGTGTTCTGCGATGTTAGAGTATCTTAGGGAAGGTTAGTGGCTATTAGAAATATAATAATAGAGGTGGTTATAATATATAGTGCATTATTAGACTTATTATTATTATTATTATTATTATTATTATTATTATAATTGGACTATAGTTGGTGATTAAATAATTAGACTTTTAATAATTATTTAAATTAGAGGAAGGGTATTGTGGGGATTATAATTTAGGGTCCAAGGGTTATAGTTAGGAAAATAAGGGATTAGAGAATCATTTATTGCAATTGATCATAGAAACCAGAGGAAAGGAGAAGAACGTACAAGCTAGGGGGGAATGTTTTGGTAGAGAACTAAGAATCGTCAACCAAGGTAAGGGTGGGGTTCTAACTCTATAAGGGAATATATATTGATGGATTGTGGTGGTTATAGGACTCATATTTGTATGATTTTTGTGATGATCAATTTGGGGTTTTGTATGTATGTGATAATGTTGATGTTTTGTGGTGATTTATGATTGAATTTCTATGAAATTGATGAAGATTTGTGTTTGGGAAGGAATGGGGATGTTAGGTATTACTTAGGTTCATTTTGAGAAGATTAAATTTCTGGTTTGGTATCAAAAATGGGGTTTTGGGGTTAAAACTATTGATTCTCGTAATTGGAAAAATAGTAGGATTTTTCACTGTCACACTGCAGAAAAATCGATTTCTAACATTGAGAAAATCAATTTCCTGAACTAAAATTGTAAAAAGTGCAGCTGCTGGAGTGTGGAAATTGATTTCCCATATCAGGGGAATCGATTTCCTGAAGTTGACAACATTTTTCAAAAACATGTAAAATTTGTAACATTTTACTCGAGTGTACATTTGACGTATCGTTCGGGCCGTTGAAAAGCTAAAAACATTTTCTATAATATATTAATAATTTTGATAACAGTAGGTGAATTATTTTTGGTTTGGAGGCTTATGCTTTGAGTGTCAGTGTCAGTGAAATTGTGGAGTATTTATGATGATTGAACCTGATAAATTTTGCAAATGTTGTATGAATGGATGGCATGTTATAGTTGCATAATCTTGTTGATGCATGTCAGTTTCGCATACATGCATCATTGATATCCCGTATTTGGCTTATGTTGTTGGCCCGGATTTTGACTGAATGTTGATAGCCCGAATTTGACTTATGTTGTTGGCCTGGATTTGGTTGTATGTTGACAGCCCGGGTTTGGATTTATGGAGAGGGCTTATGCCCTGATGGTACCATATGCATAGTGTCAGTTGCATTACATTGCATTGTTGAATTGTTGATGTTGTGATATGAAGATGATGTGTGTGCATATGATTAGTATGTTTGTTATGATGAATGTCGTTGATATGTAGGTGTGAGATATGATATGTGTAACCATGTGTATTAAACCATTGCTTAATCATTATTATATATATTTTATATTGTTATGATATATCACCCTTATGTTGGAATGATGCTTTATACGACATCACTCAGGTACTGAAGATTAGAGTTGCTACTAGCTGAGGAGTTTTGGCCATATTTTGAGTAGATTGAGTCGGTGTCAGCTCTAATACGTAACACTAGGGGTTTTTGGCGTTTTTTTATTTATGTTTTGGAGAAAACTCCTGTAGTACTCTGTTTCATTTATTTTTAATTATTGTTGATTTTAGTTGGATTATTTGGAGATTTTGACTTGTGTTGAAGAGTTTTAACTATTGTTGATGTTTTTCCGCTGCAAATAAATGAAAGAATATTCAGATTGAAATATTTGTGGTTTTATGTTTTATAAATGTGTTGTGTATTTTATTTGACGAGGATGTTCATGTATGAAGGTAAAATTCTAAATATGGAAATATTTTAATTCCTTTGAATTTCAATTAAATAATTGCACGGGGAATTTAGGGTGTTACATGCTCTCACTCAATGATTGCATGAGCAACTATACACACAACTACTCTCATAGAAGCGACAGCACACATCCTTATCACAATGATAAATTAAAATGTCAAGACATATGATATGACATTAGGACACAACACTTTACTCCTCCTTTTTAGCCAAAATATTGACAAAAAGACACAGAGTAAATGCACACAATGGAAACACAGAGAACACTTCAGAACACATTGCACTGAGGCAAAATAATACATCTTAGAAACATACATTGCATGCTAGCAATAACATATATGGAAGCACACAGATGGAAACACAACTCTTGGTTAGCTTCAGGTGGTCTTCCACTTCTTGCCTTTGTGAACGAGCCTCCTTCCCCTATCAAAAGGCCTTTTGTATTCCTTGGTGTTATAGCTTGCCCCACTGTCTTGTAGAATACCTTTCTTCCAGCCAATAATCCCAACAATAGGCATATCATGCCCCATAACATAGAGGAAAAATGCAGTTGACATTGTATTTCCTCTTTTCCATAATTGATATAACTCTTCAATAGTACAAGTTCCAATCCCACTGTCTTTGATAATAACAAGTTATTCCTTTTTGTCCATAAGCTTCAGAGTATCATCATTTCCTTCAACAAGATGCTTGATCAGTTGCTGGAAACATCCAAGATCCTTGTACCAGTCATGTTGAATAAGATAGCTAAACAAATTTAGATCTTCAGTATAAAATGTTATGACATCTCTCTTGACATCATACCTCTTTAACTCAAGTTCAGAGAAACTTCCACTTGTTTCCCTTAAGGCAACACATCCATTTGATATTTTTCTAATTTTCTTCACTGATGCTACCTTCATCAGGATGACTATCGATCAAATCCCTGGGTTGTTCTATCTGTCCCTCAGTAGACAGACATGCGCTGGACTAAAATTTCACTGCCTTAGAGTTTGTGAATTCACAAATATCCTCTCCTAGTGCTTCATCAGTTTGCACATAGGATGTTCCAACACTATCTCTAACATCCTCCTTTTCTTCAACAATTGAATATTCAATTCTCACATTGATAGATTCCATAGCCATATCGGTTCTGGAGTTATAGATCCTATATCCTCTTCTGCTTGAAGAGTAACCCATAAATATCCCTTCATCCACTATGAAGCTCTTTTTGTCCACTTGATCTTTAATACAAAAGATCTGACATTTACTTCCAAAAACATGAAAGTATTTGAATTTAGGTTTACTTCCTTTCCATAGCTCATAAAGAGTAGAGACAATACCTCCTCTCAAGGTGATCCTACTATGAATATAGCATACAATATTCATAGCTTCAGCCCCAAACTCATATGGTAGTTTATTAGCACTAAGCATCACTCTAGCTGATTCTTGTATTGCTTTAGTCTTTTGTTCAACAATTCCATCTCCCTGAGTTTTCCAGAAATAAGAGAATTCATGACTTATTCCTTTAGAATCACAAAATTCATAAAAAATTTCATGCATAAACTCCTTTTCATTATCATTTTTTATCTTTACAATCACACTCATCTTTTCTTATTGAATGCTTTGACACTGATCTTTGAAGACTTCAAAGGTATCTGATTTCTCTCTTAGAAAATTCATCCAAGTATATACAGAATAATCATCTATAACCATGAAGACATACCTTTTTCCCCTAGGCTGCCTATCTATAATTGTCCCATTACATCTATATGGAGAAGTTCCAGAACTTTGGTAGTAGTCTGATGTTACAACATTGGATGTGACATCATAGACTGCTTCATACTTTCACACACATCACAGACTTCTCCTTCTTCAATCTTGAGATCTGGTATATCTCTGATGACTCCTTTAGATATGACTTCCTTCATTCTTTTGAAATGAATATGTCCAAGTTTTTCATTCCATGACTTCACTTGATCCTCCTTGGTTATTGAGAAAGTTAGAGAATGAGCAATTATTTGAGATTCCCATAAATAACAGTTGTCTTTGTACCTGACCCCTTTCATTAGAACAACTTCTTTCTCATTTTTGACTAGACATTCTGATTTTTAGAAGTTGAATAACAAACCTTGATCACACAATTGACTTACACTAATAATATTAGCAGTCAATCCTTTGACAAACGACACATCTTCCAACCTGGGACAACTATCATACATCAACTTTCCTAATCCTTTGATTTCCCCATTAAAACCATCACCAAATCTAACGGTGCATGTAGGATGAGTCTTAACATCCACCAACATCTTCTGAATCCATGTCATACGTTTAGAGCATCCACTATCAAAATACCAATCTTCACTTGTTGAGTCTCTCACGTAAGTATGAGCTATAAGGTTAATGTCACTCTTTACAATAATACTCTTCTTGCTCGCTCTCTCAGAAGCACTTCTTCCCCTCAGTCAGGGACACGTGGTCAGTTTCCCCCTAAGGACCAAAGAGACCACATCTTCCCTCAGCAATACTTCTTCCCCTCAATCGAGGACATGTGGTCGGTTTTCCCCCAGGACTAACGGGACCACCGCTGCCCTCCGTAGCTACTTCTGCCCATAAGACGGGGACATGTGGTCAGTTGTCCCCCTAGGATCAATGAGACCATAACTTCCAGTTCAAATAGGCTAGTCCTCATTCAGCCAGCTACATGAGGACAATGATCCGAGAATGGAAAGAATCACGCTTTCCCATAAACACTTTTCTGCGCGATGTAATGACCAGCGTCTCTACTCGTTATGACTAATTCCTGGAATCCTTATGCCTTCCCATCCCGACCACCTCCAGATCTACTCGACACACATGGAGCAGACAACCAGGGAACGTCTAAGACGTATCTGCCCGCAGTGAAGACTTCCTCTACATCTTCCTGACACGAGTCGAGTAGACAACCAGGAAACGTCCAGAACGACCGTCTGCCCGTAATCCCTCTCCTCCTTGGATCCAACGGCTAGTTACGGACA